ACAAGTACAGTTTTAGATCGCGGACGTTCTGCTCTCCAGTTTCTTGCAAACATTGGTGTGTTTCGAGATATTCAAAATTTGGCGGGTAAGAAAAACAAGCCATTCAAGCTTTGCACTCAAGGTCTGGTGTGACCGTGTCACAGGGATCACGCAAGCCAGCTGAGCGCCAGCGATAACAAGCCCAAAGTGGCTTGTTTCGGTGTGACCGGGGCCTAATACTCTTAGATTAAATGTTGTGTGACGGCAAGGCACGAAACGTCTACCTTGCACATCATGTAGTATGAAGTACCTACAAAGCGGTTCTATGCATGTACAGTGTATGTGTATGCATGTATGTGTATGTGTATGTGTATGTGTATGTGCATGTGCATGTGTATGTGTGTGTATGCATGTATGTGCATGCATGTATGTGTATGCATGGATGTGCAAGTATGAGGCGCAAACCAACAACCTTTCAACTGAAAAGCTCAGTGCGGGAAAGGTCCAATGTGGAAAAGGGAAGCGCAAATTTTGTCCCAAGTACGCATGGCTTTTGCTTGAAGTTGAAGTAACAGTTGCGACTCGAAGTTGAGCCCTGGCATTGCCTGAGGTTTGAATACACTGTTTTCTTCTTTTCTATTTACTTGAAAAGCACATAACCACCAGGAAAGCTGACAAAGAAAAAAAGTAAGACAAGATAGATAGAAAAAGGGAAAGAGAGAAAGAGAACATTTGAGCGAGAGAGAGAGAGTGAGAGAGGGAGAGAGAGACACACACAGAGAGGGAGGGAGAGGGAGAGAGAGAGAGAGAGAGAGAGAGGTGGGGGAGGGGGTACGATTTGGGAAGGAGAATACATTGTATGGTGGTCGCCAAAGTGACAGATAGTAGTAGTGCTGGTGAGGCTACACCTGCCAGTACACTCTCAGCCCACTGGTTGCCTGGTCACACCCTCCGCTACTTCTACATTGTACCAGTACGAGGTGATTTGGCTTTTTAAGCATTTGGCATTTTTAACAAAATAATGTGTAAAATTCCTTCTTGCTGGTCCTCTGCTCCGGATGGCTGTACCGAAGCATGGGTGATGGCAAATGGCAGCCAGTTTATCGTAGATCAACATTGACCAGAAATTTTGGTGCACATAATTTAATTCTCCCTGCCACGTCGTTTATTATAGTGGTGGGTGCTTTGTCATTTTGTGTAAAATCTGTAAAATGAACTCCTGGCTGGACGAGGAAGGCAGTGAATTGCTTCGGCAGTGCCTTTGGATCAGGTGAGGCAGTCTTGCCATCACTAAAGACAGTAACGAAGAACAGTAGGTCGCGGAATACAGTCAGTGAGAACGAAAATATACCTGCGGTGCTATGCTACCTATTCAATTCCACTGTATGACACAGCCACTAGTTACAAAATTCAAAAACACAGCTTTCGCAGCATGCAATGCAGTTGACACGTTAGTTTTCATCCCCTAGCAGTCCTTGAAGTGGTATCTATCAACTTCAGAACATTGATGACCGAACATCCCGGTTTGTGATGCCATTTTACAAATTAATTAATTATTTGTTAAAAATGACACACCTAGTATTTGAATACTGAGAATGCTATAAAAGTAGGCCATGGTTCTAGACACCTTTCAAAGTGGGATAATTCCCATTTTTTGACGCAACGAGCACGAAGGATAGCACTTCCACTTGCAACAATTCATTTGGACGTATCTTGCCTAGAAGTGGCTGAACAAACGTCATTTTACAACCATGTAACGGTTAAAAAAAGCCAAATCACCTTGTTCACTTCCCCAACTGATCATCTTTATCTTTATCCACTGGCGATGTTGTTCAGAACAACGAAACGTCTGGAGAAGTATCGTAAAAATTTCTATCGTTATTAAATGTTATCAAATATACCACTCTTTGGTCTAGAAAGAATACTTTTTGACATCTCGTAAGAGTTTGTTTTTAGCAAGTGGTTATTATGACAATCGTGTATGGGAGTTACTATTATTCAACTTACTAATGAATACAATGTTTTTTTTAAATTTCGGCCAGTCGCCTACTGTCATCATTTTTCGTCTTGGGGGTTAGACAATAGGAAGCAGCCATGTAGGGTAGGCATTGGCGGATAATGCTCGAAAAGCAGTGACATTGGCAGATCCATACAAACCTTATGGCGGGCAATTCCTCGAATTCTGCTCCATTTCGTTATCCACATACCAAACATGCATGAAACTTACCAGAAAAAGTACCGAATTCTGCCAGCATTATCCGCAAAGGCCTAATGTAGGAGCGTGAGCCCGCCTTTCGGCACCGAGAGTTGCAGCTCGCTCGACTTGACTCTACTGAGTGCACATGAACCACACCTTGATCTGGTGAACTGCGTTCTGGGGATTTTGCCGTCAGATGTGCGACTGCGGAACTCGAACCCGCGACCACTCTGGTCGCAGGCAAGTGCAGCACAATACAACTTTTAGAAGTGCGTGTACATGATTTTATATAACCCAATACTGTACTAGGTCCGAAGTAGTGGTTGCGACTTCGGCGATGATTTGTAAGAAAGGGTTTGCTGCTCCCCACACCGGAGCTCGCGCTATAGGTCCATACTAATAATTATTAGATAAACCTGGTTATAGTTCACACATGTTGTTAGTTTGACAGCACCTTGTTTCATGCTGTCAAACTAACAACAAGTACATGATTGTACATTTTATATCCTCAATGCTCGGTTACAATGTACAGTATAATGTCTAAGGTAACTGAGATACTTCTGGTAGACTGTGTTCACAGCCATTTTAGCTCCCTCTCACTAAGCTCATTTTCCGCCTGTTGAGGTTGCGCTTTTGTATCTTTTGCCCGTACGGGAGGTTTGGGTACACTGGAACTTCGGTCCACACATCACCTACTACCGGTACTCGGAATTGTACTTGTGTTGACGGCGAGAGTACATAGACACCCGTGACCATGGTGACCGGGACCTTATCACGAAAGCCGGTTGAGCTGCGAGGCGACCAGTGAGTCAAGTGGTTTCCTCATCTTCGACAGTTTTGCAGTTTTTGAGCGCATGACGAGATGATGACCGAAGCAGTAATTATTATTAAGCTACAGTACAGCCATTATTGCATTGTGACATGATGTACTACGCAAAACTGCGCATCTATCTTCTATGACTAGCAAGAGCAAGGATAGAGAAGAGAGTAATGTCTTCGCAATGTCGGTATGAGTAAGATATTGTGTGTTCGTGGTGACGGGTGTACAGCGCGCACTGCAGCACAGTCTGGTATCTTGCACACCTTGATGCAAGCCTAGGGCTTGATGTTAGCCTTGAATTATAGGTTAGCATGTTGGACATCGACAGTTGACAGCATGGAACAAGGCGGAGGACGCACTGAGAGAACAGTAGCGGGTGAGTTTGGCACGTAATGCTGTTCCCGTTTTGTCTAGTACTAGTACTAGTAGAAGTACTTAGTTACTTCGTACACTCCAGCGGAGACTCAAGAACGAGGACTAATCATGTCTCTTTCTTAGCACAACGCCCACAGCTTGTTTACAGCTCTAGAAGACTGACACACGTAACGTTTGGCGATGTCGACGTCGTGTCCCTAGCTCACCCACCTCCTAACAGTTTACGTTCAAGTCAAGATCAGTCAATGCAACGGGGGAGCAGGGCGAAAACCAGCAGCAGGCATCAGACACACTAACTTGAGTGAAGTGAGAAAACGAACTAGCATCACCTCCATACGGTCAGTCTCTACGCTTCGCCACCGGAGAGAAGGTCGACCAAGTCTTCGCTACCGCACCGCGAGAAGAGTAAAGATGAGAACTCTGTTTCTCGCCTTCCTGGGCCTGGCCCTGCTAATCACCCTTCAACACAGTCAGGGTAAGTAAAAACCTTAGTTACTATTAACAATTCCATAGTAGAATAGACGCTGATACTTTGCTTGCTGTTAGATAAGAAATGCATCCTTTTGCAACTACACGGTACATCCAACTCGGGTCGTTAGAAAGCACAGAACAGCAACTAACTGTGATTTTGCGTAATGATAAGGACACGAGTTGATGTTGAAAGCTCTACTTGCATACATGTAGATATAAGGGTTAACCAAAGCATAATTATGTGAACTGGAGTTTTTAAATGGGATTCAGCACGAACTGGTGCGACCGCGAAGGTATCTCTACACTGTGAGAGTACCGGTGCGACTGTTGTTTGGATGCGCACGACCGCCTTTTGGTGTATTTTCACAAGTGGCTAGGCAGCTACCCCAGTATTCCTCTACCGAATGTTAGGATTGCACAGCGACGAGTGCACGGTTTGAATTCGTATCGTTTAGCAGCACATGACTACAACGTGATAGTTTACAAGACTGTACCAGTAGAGTTTGCCTAAGCTATCCTAGGGAGAGTGCACTCCGCTGGCGCAACCGGGAGCAGGCGTTCAGAAAGAATAGCAGTATTTACGCTTGCACAGTATCCCGTGGTCGTCTCCAGTCCGTTTCGTCATTCTTCTCTGGGCATATACGCTTAATCACGTTTTTGTATTGATTTGTTTGCGGCAAGAGAGTATCCAGTAGGATATATCTATAAAATCTAAAAAGTGGTGATTGAAATGTGTGATTGAAATGTGTGACAGAGTATGAGATTTGTAACAGAAAACTAGCGTACTACTAGTACTTCGTGCTTCGTGTCGCTGGTTGTGGTCTAGCTATTCGGTCAACATTAATCTTGTGAGCATTGGGTTTCTTGTGTGTATGTGTTCGTGACATGTGATCCACCTGTGTGTATGGTTAAGTGGGCGGGCTCGTGTGCTTGCTTGTTTTGTTACAATCATGTGTGTGTGTGTATGTGTGTGTGTGTGTGTGTATGTGCGTGCGTGTGTGTGTGTGTGTGTGTGAATACGGTGGGGTGCGTGTGTGTGTACATGCGGTGCGGTACGTGTGCAATCCTATCATAGGTGCTAGCGTGGATCAACCTTCTCTCCGCACGGCAAACACTGGAGGTACGTGGCAATGACATGACAGACAGATAGATAATACTGATAACGTTAGCCCACACCTGCCTTGGGATGTTGGCGTGTTGGGATGTTGTCATAGCTTGTTTTCGCTGTTGCTCATGTTCCCCACATTTTCTCCTCTCATCTTATGTAACTTACTCTTTCCGTTTTTCGTTCTCGATCTCCTTTCTACCTACCTCCCTCTTCCTGCCCTCCCCTGACACAATGTCTACGTCTACACGTTCTTCAATGTCTTGTAAGAGTGGAGGAAAATGATGTACCGGTAAATTGTAGCAGTATCTTCATAAATTCACTGTGTGTCCGTGACTACCACGAAAGACAAGTGAAGCGCGAGTGAAAGTAACATTCATTCATCTCATGATATGTACACGACGGTACACAGTGTTTTGGTTGGGGCCGCCAAAAAGACGTTCCCAGGAAGCCAAGAGTTCTGTTGAGGATGTTGCCATAGCTATATAACAGTTTCTACAGTAACATCCATCGCACATGCTCGTGTACAGGGTTATATGAATGACATGTTTTGTATGCCGAAGCGAACTACTTGGCATAGCGCGTGTGTAATTGTGGCGAAGCTTCAGCTTCATGCATAATACCCCAGAGGTTGAAGTAAATGGACGAATAAGGATTTGCTCGCGTGAATGATGACTTAATTGCATGACCTCCTTTGAATGGAAATCCCATTCCGATGCTGATGATGTCACGCCATAGTACTTCGAAGTACATACCATGCAACTCTAACTAACCATGACATCATTCCGTTGCCGCCACGTGTGTGTGTCTCTATCGTATTGTATCCTTGACTGGCTGTGCTGTAGACTCCGGCGGCGAGTCCAAGAGAGCCGCTAACCCCTCTACCGGTGGTGATGGCCAAGGCGAAGATGATGAGGAGGCAGACAGCCTCGCCGACGAACAAGATGATGACGAGGATGCGGACGAAGAGGGCGACGAGGAAGAGGATGGCCTAGCAGACTCTGAGCTGGACGCTCTGACTGACAGGCTAGACCAAGACAACGATGAGGGCAAAGGTAATGACCTCGGTCACAATGCTTTCATATACATATTATACAATTCACCATCCTCTTAAAGCTTTCCCAGTGGTTAGATCCTGTCGGGATTCTTGCCAGACCGTGCAACGAAATGGTGCTGGTAATTTTCCTGAAGTGCTGCTGCTTAATGAGACACGTTTGCAGGAGTGAATAAGTTTGCAACATGAAGCAAACTCAGGACATGAGGCAAACGTGACGAAAACCCGCATAATTATAAGCCAAGACCAGGGCAGGTCTTCTTGACCCGTTAAAAGTTTCACATGAGAAATCATCTCTGGGTGTACGAGAAGCTGGAGGTCTCAGTCCGGGTAAGAGCTAAAGTGAAACCTGTCACGTGGTGTAAGCGACCTCTGTGTTGAGCGACCACCTGCTCTTAACGACCTCTGTGTTGAGCAACCACCTGCTCTTAACGACCTCTGTGTTGAGCAACCACCTGCTCTTAACGACCGTTTTCAATGCGCTGACAGTTCTACACAGACACTGGACCTTGATCACCAGGCCTTAACGACCGCTTTTGCTTACACCATGGGGTGGCCGCCAGGTTTTACTGTAGTTCAGCGGAGCGGGCTGAGTAAGCCAGTCATACCACATATATGTCAGATCTAAAATCATAAATGACTGGATGAGAAACCAGTATCAAGGAGGTCTGACCATAAGCCCAGGGCAGGAGTCGTGACTGACCAAGTCAGCGCCTATTTGTCACCCATAAATGGGGTCTCAATAGAGATCAGGAATCAGTGATTCGGTAGGTTTCCCGTCAGCCTTGTCCATGCGATCATCAGGTGTGCGCATGGATGTAGATCTACATGTACATCACGGTTCTGTCTATGATAGACTTGGTCATGGATGTGGATGAGGTTGTTACCATTATGTACATGTACGTATGTGGACACGTGTGTGTGTGTGCGCGTGTGTGTGCGTGTGTGTGTGTGTGCGCGTGTGGCTAACTTTAATAAGCTGCTGCCTAACGTTCTTCACCTACCTACACCTTGCCCATCTCATACATTTGAAGAAGAGGTCACTTCATTGATACGTACACTGCACTAATGCATCATGATGAAGTGCAGTATCTGTTTTCAGTTTCTGGTGCATTGTACGGAGCCATTGCCAGAGAGGCGTGGAACAATAATATTATTAAAACCTTTCTTCTTCGGCTTTGCAACGGCTGTCTCTGTCCATCTGTGTAGATCTTCAAGCCAAAGAAGGAGATGAGGATGGCAATGAAGTCGAGCAGGACAAGCGCGCCGCGTTTTGGTCTCGTCGTCGCAGAACTTCCCGCCGCCGTTGGGTAAGCCGCCGTCGCGTCAGCCGCAGGCGCTCGTCCTATCGCCGCCGCTACTCGTACCGCCGTCGCTACTCGTACCGCCGTCGCTACTCGTACCGCCGTCGCTACTACCGACGCCGCTACACCCGCCGTCGCGTCGTTGTCGTTGGCAAATAGTAAACGCCATAATAAGGCATAAGCACCGTGCACGCGGTAGCAGAGTAGCAACTGCAAGGCTATGAGTATGACGTAAAGGTGTGGCATCACTGGGAGTTACCATGACGGGTGCTTCCCAAGTGACCTGCATGATTGTATCTCAGTACTGTAGTAGTGTGGTGTGCTGCTCTGTGGTCCAGTGTGGTACGTTTCGTAGCGCATCCCGTGTGACCGTCTGACCAGCTGAACTATCATTTTCGCAATCCGATTGTGGTTTATGTTCATGGCTTGTGAGGTGGTTTAGTAGCCTACTAGTAGAACTATTTCCCGACCAGTTTCTCATATTATCTCAATACTATGTACATGGTACATGAGAATCTCTCATGGTGGTCATAGACAGAAACGTTGAATGAATACAATTTGAGTAAAAAGTGGACTAGTGCGTATTGACGTGTGGTTGTTAGCCCCCCAACCTGTTGGATATCATGAAGCTGCAAGAAGCGTCCAAACTCATCTTGGGGGTGAGAATGATATTGAAGAGAACATTGGCACCCCTATTCTCAATGGAGAAAGGTGAAAAGAAGAAGAAGAAAGTGAACCTAACGCGTCCAGTTGTTGACCTGTTTAAGGCCTACAGCCAGCTTGGGAAGCATTGCTTTTGATCGTGTGGCCAGGTCTCTCGAACGTCAATCTCTGATAGCACAATAATATACTGACTGTACCATGAGGAAATGGGGGGAGGGGAATTGAGTGTACGTCAAATGTGTACTATAATGCCATATACACACCTGTTTCTCAAAACGGGAAGACTCCACTGTAGCCATCCACTATATCCATACATCTCTTCACAACAACACTCTCCAAACGGTCTCTGGGCTACACCAATCACTAACAGAAAGAAAATAGATATATTACATTATTCGAATTTTCGGGCAAGGCCCATCTTCAGATTATTCGAATTTTCGGGCAAGGACCATCTTCTTTTACGCACAATCATGTAGGAAAAGAAAAAAGCGTGAGTGAAGAAAGGCGATGGGATGAGTCATTCATGCGCATTTTGTCATGCGCTTCTTTCTCCCTGCATGGCATGTATGCACTGTGATATTTGAGCAATGACTCACACGACTCACTGGAAGCTGGAGTCGTTAGTCATTCATGGGCATTTTGCCATGCGCTTCTTTCTCGCTGCATGGCATGTATGCACTGTGACATTTAGCAATCACTCACACGACTCACTGGAAGCTATTGGGTCGTTGGGTTGGTGCTGCATTGCCTATAAGTGATATGAGTAGACAGAACAGCGATTTTTGTTTATTCACTTAAAAAAAGTAGTGCCAGAAAAAAATATATGAACGCAATGAGCTGGTCTATGGTTTAGAACCTTCAAATTTGCTGTCATCTCATCTCAGAGATTGTACTGGCAAAGACAAATATTGAAACATGTAACACAAGATACATATACATGCACATGTAATTATTATTATTGGAAATAAGTTAGCCATGTTCATGAAAGTCCGAGATCACATGACGGTAAATGCAAAGCGTGCTTTTTATATTTGTTCAATTCAGACAGTACTTGAGTATGGTAGTAACTCATTTGCTCATTGCTTGTCAGTCACTCTTCATGATCCTCTAGTCCGTAATAGAGCTCTACACATTGTGTGTCCCTTATTAATGCACGCCATCACATTCTCCAAATGTCTGTGCGCTATCAGTTCAAACTCTATATTTTAGTTTTTCGCGTCCTGAATCAATTAATTTACTTCTCTCCTTACTGATTGCTTTTGCCTTCGTTCTAATTCTACTCGTACCAAATCCTGCACTGCATCTCAGGTATCTTTATCTGTCTCTCTAGCACGAGCTTAAAACTCGTTTTGGTCTCTTTTCAGTTTCTTTCATCGGTTCCGACCGTTGCAATGCACTCCCTGCTGCAGTCCGCTTATGCTCTTCACTGCACTTATTCCGTAATTCAGTACTTTCATTTCTAGGGTACCCTATAAGAAGGCCTTAGGCCTGTCGGGATTTCCCTATCAAAATTTGGATAATAATAAAAAGTAGAAGAAATCACATGGAAACGAGTTATGAAGCAACTATCCATGACTATAACAAGATTATATGCAGTCAGAAAGTGCGATAACAGGGTCAGGGGACACAAGTGACATGCTACTGTGCCATTCAACGACCTGAGACCTAGCTCCCACACACCTCCAGTGCGCAAACCAACAGCCTTCCAGCTTGGAAGGTTCCAAGTTATGGTAAGACCAATGAGGGGAAGGTGAGCGCGGGCGAACATGTGCATAAGCTATGTCCTACTCCAACAAAGAATGCCGACTGTTACAGGACCATGACGGGACCAGTTAATATTTATTTATTTATTTATTCAACATCTCCTGGCCCGTCCGAAGACTGCCAATAAACATGAGAGGTCAGGTGATAGCCAACCACGGCAAGCTAAAAGGGGGGGAAAAAAAAAAAAGATGCTGTCAGAGAGGGAAAGGAGTTAGGGAGAGAAAAAGAAAGGGAGGCACATTAATAATACATGGGATCACTTCGGATGAGACAGTGTGGAAAGCTGGACTGTGAATTTCCTGATATCCTGGCATGTCTTGATGCTAGTAGGCAGGTTAGACCAAAGGGAGTATGCTGAGAAGAAAGGGGATTTCAAAAACAGAGAGGAACTAGCTCGGGGCAGTGATAAGGCATTGCGTGTTGGTCTAGTGGTAACAAACCAGTTGTACTTGGCAATATGTTTCGGGACTTGGGCTAGGAAGATTTTTTGCACAAGGATACAAAGATGCTGCTGATGTCGGGCAAGAAGAGGGTGCGTGGAAGCAAGTTTATAAAGACAAAGGGAGGCAAATGTTTGGTCTTTTCGAAACAGAATTTTCAGAAGCAAGCGTTGATGTACCTCCAGTCTGTGGAGTAAAGTCTGAGACAACCCGCACCAAGCTATATCGCAATAGTCAAATATAGGCAAAATGTACGACTTAAAGAACAATTTTCTGCAGTTATCATTCAAGTGTTGGCAGTGGGGTTGTAGCATACCTAAGGACGCACTCGCACGCTTGCACACAGACTGGACCTGTGGAGACCAGGAGAGTTGGCGGTCGAGAATAACGCCCAGGTGCTTGTGCTCGTTAACAACTTTAATAGGTGTACTATTTAGACCAGGAAAATACAGAAGTTGAGTGGGGGGCGAGGGAGAGAAGAACATGGCCTCGGTTTTGGCGAGGTTAGGCTTCAGTTTCCAGGTTTCCATCCATGTTACTGTAGCGTTGACCCCGGACTGCATGGAGGCCGTGAGGTTGTCTGCCGAGCTGTCGGAGCACATCAGAGCAGTGTCGTCAGCAAAAAGACTTACATTTGGTACAAGGGCTGGCAAGTCATTAACGTACAGTAGAAATAGGAGCGGCCCAAGTATGGACCCCTGGGGTACCCCAGACACGACTAGTAATGGGTCTGATAGGGAGGTAGATACTCTGACAGTCTGGTGGCGGCAGGAAAGATAGGATGAGAGCCATTGCAGGGCTGGACCGTGTACCAAGAAGACGGACTCTAGCTTTGCAAGCAGACCACGATGCCAGACGGTGTCGAAAGCTTTCGCTAGGTCAAAGAACACGATGCCAACATGCCGCCTGAGGTTCCGCTGGGTGTAGATGTCTTGTACTAGACGTGTTAGTTGGAAAGTTGTGGAGTCTCCACGGCAGAAACCGGATTGAGATGGTGAAAGCGCTGGGGTGACGTGGCAGTACAGAGACTCAAAGAAAATACGTTCACAGACCTTGGACACAGCGGGAAGGAGAGAGATTGGTCTGTAGTTGCCAGCCTGAGAGCGTTGGCCTTTCTTATAGATCGGGACGATAACAGCAGATTTCCAGACGGACGGAAATACTCCTGTACGATATGACATGTTAAAGAGCAGGCACAAGGGATAGGACAGAGATGGCGCAAGCCATTTGAGAACCTCATTGGGTATGCCATCTTCGCCAGGGGACTTACAATTCTTCAGGAGTTTGAGGTGCTTACAGACGGTAGCAGTCGTGGTAACGACGCGTGTGAGTGGTGCGCTAAGTTCAGGGGCTGGGGACAGCGATGGAATGACCCAATTCGGATCTTCCGGAATGCCGGATGAAACAAACTGCTTGTTCAGTGTGTCTGCAATCGCCTTCACATCGTGCTGGCGGTTGCCATGGGAGTCCGTCAGGTACTGGATTGGCGCGCGGGAGGTCCCGCGGCACTGGTTGCGAATGAATTGGTGGAGTGATGGGCGATCGGGGGAGGAGAGTGTTGCAGAAAGAGAGTTTAGAAAGGAGCGGTGTGAGGTACGAGAAAGGTGCTTGACGAAGTTGCGTTGAACTCGGTAAGCCTCCCGGTTAACCGGCGTTGGGAATTTCTTGTAGATGCTGAAAAGATCACGCTTGCGCTTCACTTCAGATACGAGGGACCGTGTCACCCATGGGGGACTAGATGTCGAGGATGTTGGGTTGGAATGTTTCCGGTTGTTGTAGCCGATAGCAAAGTTAGAGAGGTGCTGTTGAAACCCTCGTTCAAGGACGGCTGCAAAGTGATCTACCGCGGCGTCAACAGTTGGAGAGCCTTCTGGTTGCAGAAACGACCAGTCGTGGCAGGAGAAATCAGCGTTCATAGAGTCCCAGCACTGAGAGGGAACTCGACGGAAGCGATATGGGAACGGTTTGCGAGAAGGAAGTGGCAGGTCTGGATCCGAGGGCAATGAGACGGCGAACTGGCATGAAACCATGAGATGGTCCGAGGAGCCAAGAGCGCAAGCTGTGTGAACGTCCGTCGCCAGCAGGGGTTGGTTCGTGAAGACAAGGTCTAGACATGACTGTGTTCCGGAAGATGTTGTGTGCGTTGGACTCTGCACCAGCTGATCCAAACCGAAGCAGGTAAGGGTGCGAAAAAGTGCCGCCCCAGCAGGACACGTTAAATCCGATGGGCACCACCGTTTGTGCTTACTGTTGAAGTCCCCAGCCATTATGACATGGTACGATGACATGGGAACGGTTACCAAAGCACTAGCTAGCATATCACAGAAGTGGTCTATTTCCGTGGTTTTGACTGAGGGCGGACGGTAGGTACAGCAGACGAGGATGGGTGTCGGGGAGCCTAAGATTGGGTGAAGCTCAACCCATACGGATTCACAGGTCGGACGAGCAAGGTCGTCGCGAACTTGGACTCTTCCGAAGCGATTTTGCCGGACAAGAATCGCAACTCCACCATATCCTCTGGTTGCCGTACCGGATTTGTTATCATGAGGTGGTCGGTCGCGACGAAATGTGGTATAACCGGAGATGGTGAGCGCTATGCTTGGATTTAGCCATGTTTCATTTAGACAGATGACATCAGGTTTGTTGAAATCAGCAATGACAGACAGTTCGGCAGATTTGTTAACGATTGAGCGGCAATTTACGGA